ACGGGATGGGGGGTGGGACCTTCTTGGATCCCTCTTAAGCTATACACCCATGGATATCAACATTGACATCCACACATCTCCTCAACTGTGAGAATGATACACGATACCTCCAAAAAATGTGTAACATCAATGAAACTTTTGAAATCACTCTATTGCCGCTGCCGGTGCTGGTCCATTGTATCTCAACACTGATTAGAGAGTGACTACAATATGTAAATACCCACCCTCCAATGGTAAGTACCGAGCCTAAAAATTTTTCTGATTTGTACAATACAGCAATATAGCTCGGCGAAAATTAAGTATTCCAGCATGAATACAATCATCGGTGAAAAATCGTAACGCAAGTTAGTTTGGCTTCTGCTGTCTTTCGAACAGCCCCTACAATTCGTAATTACTCACTTTGAGTGTATCGTAAATTTTTGTCCGAGTATCATCTCATAGTCTTAAACGGTAATTCTTTCTTACTCCTGCCTCATTGTGTGGCATTTCTGCTTCCTCATCGCAACCATACCGCATAAGTATACCTGTGGTCTTGTCTGTGTTCGAGATAAAAAACCTCTTTGGGGTTTTATCTAACAAGCTGTGAGGATGGTGGTTGGTGTAGTGCACTCGGGAGTAACGAAGATGAACGGGGTAATGAAATGGGGGAAGGATGGTTGCGCAAGCGCAAGCGCGACAAGCTTTAATTTAAATAGCCTCAGAATCAGCGGTTGCAGGCCGCGGGCAGCAGGGAAGGCTAAAGGCTAGGCAAGAAATAAGTCATTTTGTTATCTGCATTTCATGTGTGTGCGCACGTAAAATGAGCGGAAGATGCACTACTGATTTCACACGTGCAGACTGCGGACACGCTGCAGTTAGCATATCGGCTAGGTGTTGTCATTTTTGTCCGCTTTAAGTGGGCAGAGTCGAGCAACGTAGGCTCCCTAGATCTCGGCGTGATTTCTCGATCTAATTAGGACGCAAACCTTCGGTGACTCACAACCCGGTTAAGGCAGACACTTTTCCTTAGACAAGAAAGCCCTTTTTCTGACTGTAAATCCAGATGTTCTCAAATTACACTGAAAAATAGTGATTTCAAAAATGGTTTCAATTTGTCTCCATCAGTTAGGGTTTCCCAAAAAGAATCTACATTTTCCCTAAAAAAATCGGGTTCTTTTGAACTAATTCAATTTTAACCACACTGGAAAAAAACTACATTGGATCTAGAGTCCAGACTCTTGAAAACATTGACAAGAAAAAATACTCTTGATTCAATCAGATTTCTGCTTAAATCAAAAGGAAATCAGCTCATATTAAGAGGCTTGGTTCTTGATTTAAGCAAAAATCCGATTGAATCAAGAGTATTTTTTCTTGTCGATGTTTTTAAAAGCCTGGACTCTAGATCCAATGTGGATTTTTTTGCCAGTGCAGGTATTCGATTGAGCACCAGCTGGGAAATATTGGATCCAGAGGATAAAAATACGTAGGTTTACATGGAATTTACACCCGAGAATATTCCACGTTGATGTTTCTGAGATCGAGGTTTTTCTGGTGACATGTCACACATCGCGCATAATGTCACAATGTAAAATTGATCATGTTGTTAGCGTCTAAAAGGACGCAAAAATTCTCTTCTCAGATGTTTGACGATGTATCACTATCAGTCCCCAGTGCTTGCTGCAATTGGATCGGAAATGACCTCCGTTTTTCACTGCAGATCCATGCACCAAGCAAAGCAGTTATAGGACGTTGAGAGAGGTAAAAATTATGTATCTATACGGTCAAAGACTCAAAATGTTTTTATATGCATCTGGCAGCAAGACTCGTCCTCGCCTAGAGGCGACTAACAAAATTCGCGTTGAGCAGTTCGCTCAGAAAGTTCGCCAATTCCTCAAAGCAGCAAATCTTCAGCCCTATCGTGAGCATGACGGAGGAGAATTGACCACACAGAGAAACTTTGACAACTTGATGAGCTTTTGGCTCACGGTCGCAAAATATGTTATCTTCACAGGGTGATCCAAGGTTACTGCAGGAGCGTGTTTCACGGGCCAAGTCAAACGTTAGCTATGAAATTTGTTTCCAAAAAAGCTTTGCAAGGTGGCTGAAGCTCTCCAAGTTCTGGGAAATAAATATTTTTTCCTGAATATTGACAACGATAACGCACCGACTCTCATGATAATTGGTAAATATGCACCCCTAATTTGATACGCTAAATTCATAAAAGGTATTAGAAAATCAAAATATCCTTTAAAAGAGGAGTTTCGGGAGATTCGCAAAATACCACCTTTATATGCCGCAAAATCAAGTTATTGGCCTTTTTAGGTCCAACCCCCCTTCCTTTCGCTAACGCGCTTTGACTGAGATTTTGATTTTCTAATGCCACTAATTAAATGATTTGTATTTTGCAACACTACAATTTCTGGCTCATACGTAAAAACACTCATGTGGTTAGGGAAACTGGCGGTGCATACGTTGTTTCTCAACTGATCCAGAAATAGTAGTTCCTAATTGCAAAATCTAGTCCAATGCAGAGTATCAATTGATGGGTACATACCAATTGTCATGAGATTCGGTGCATTACCGTTGCCAAAACGCAGAAAAAACAATTTATTTCCCAGAACTTTGACAGGGGGCTGTGACCCCCTTTAAAGTATTTTTGCAAAACACTTCATTGAAGAATAAAGGTTTATTTAGACTCATAATAATTTTCCTGCAGTTCGGTGGTCTAACCTTAAGGGCACAATTTGGGTGCAACTGGACAACACCGGGTTAAGTTACTCAACTTGATGTGTTCAAAGGCAGTCGGCTTGGTGTGTACTACCTTGCTAAGGAATAACGCCACATGAGCATTTGAATGTTGCCAAATGTCTCCCGACGAAATGCTCATTTTTTAGGAAAATTATAAATATTTTCCCCTTAATTTTTCAGATACTTCGGATCAAATCGCGAACAAAATTCTCCGAAAAATCGGAGGGAAAATATTCACAAGTTTCCCTGAAAATTCGTATTTTGCCCAGAGAAATTTGGCAATGTCCAACTGCTCATACGGCATTTTTCCTAGCAGGGGAGTGTACTTGGGTTGATTCGGCTGCAGTTGCGGCTACTTAGTTGCAAAAATTCCAGTGTCATTGTGACGTTATAACCTCGCGCTGAAGCTGCTGCCTTGCGCGTCCCCTCAGCTGCACGCCGCTCGCTGCTTATGAACTGGGTGACGTTATCTTTGAAATATGGCCGTGGCAAATGTCACCATGGTGCTCCATGCAGGATCCAGGATGCTGGATTAAAAGCTCGGATAGCACACCCGGCGCAGCCACGCTGATGCCAAGCTTCGCCTCCGCCCGAGCCGCAATCGAATTCCACCAGCAATCCTGAATTCCTTACTCGATTCGGCAAATTCCCGGGAAGAAACAAACGGTGAGCGCACTTTATCTGAAACAGTGCCGCTTAGAACCAAAGCCCATGACTTATGGTCCTGCAGGGTCTTATGGCGAAAATTCTTCATACGCTCTGCCCTAGGAACACCACGCAGAGACACCTGATATCTACCGTCCGCAAGACCGTTCGGTGCGACATCCGCGATGACCACCCTTTTTTAGATTCGTTTCCGTCCACCGCGCTGCGCCACTGTTGCGATTTACGCGTTTAGCCCCGCACTGGAATAGTACCGCACTGAAACATAGTATATCCGGACAGATTCTTATTTCCTTTCACCGGAAATCAAATAAAAGCGAGAAGCTCTGACACGTGTTTAAAAAGCTCGTAGTTGTGAATGACATTTTAATGTGAAAAGTGCAAATTTTTTCACAAACGAACAATTGCCTTTCCTATACAAAAAATACATCTCATAGCGTTTGGCGATACTTTTGAAATAAATCGTCACTCTCTTATCCAAGGCGGCTCTTTCGGTGTATGCAGGCTAATTTTTACTTGTCTCTGTAGATCCCGAGATGAACACTAACTAACTAACTAACTAACTAACTAACTAACTAACTAACTAACTAACTAACTAACTAACTAACTAACTAACTGACAAACTAACAAGTCGCTTTTATAGCGCTTCTGTGCGCTCTGCGACACCCAACCGCCATTGATCGCGATCCTGCTAGAGCTCTTCTGGCAGATCGCATCTCCTCATGTCCTGCCTTATTCCCTCAATCAACGATTTGGCAGGACGTCCTCTACGCTTTCTGAACGAACGGCCTTCTACGGCCATTGAAACAAAGCTGTTGAAAGAACTCAAGTAATTTTTCAATTTTGCAGGGAGGATCCCGAAGCACTCCTGAGGTTCTGAGAAATTTCCTCCGAACCTTAATTTTGGGACTAATAGAATCCTTTAGATCCCGTCTTGGTGTGGTGTCTTTCTGTGCTTCCCAGAGTCTCTTTGATGAGGTCCTATCTGCCCCTAACGAGAAATTCCTAGTCATATCTATCTTTATTTTACTTCTTTTCAATGCCCTTATCTCTTTGCGAAACTTTGTTGAAACTTCCTATTGGTAGAGCTGGTTTTTACAACTCCAAGAAAGTATAAACCTTTGTGCCGATTGTATAATTAATGGTTTCAAGCAAGAGGGGAAAAAATAGAAATTTAAAAATTCTGCGAATTATTCCAGAAGTTCAAATATGGACTGATTTTATTTCTACAGAAAAATTTAAGGTTTGGATTGCAGGTGTGACACAATGGGTTTACAATCATCACAAATGTCCTGACCAACCGGACGCCATGAAAAACTAATTAAATTTTATATTCCTCTCACGTCTGACGATTTCCAGAGCGCACTTCCAAGATCGAATGTGATCGTAAAATTTGTGTTGGAAACGACCGCTTTATTAGTTAAACTAGTTATTTTCAGTAAGTTGACTGAAAACCAAAAACAATGAAATTTCAGCCATAAAGTTCATTTGAACTTGAGAGATTTTATCTAGTCAATATAACTGTGAGTCGCTTTATGGTTTGGAGTCATGAAAACAGATGACCTTGGTATCTACTTCACGTTTAACTCTGCTAAAATAAAAGAGCGGCGTGATATTTCCAGACAGTAGTCTTTGGGATAAGAAATCCTTGACCACGTGGTTCTCTAATTTGTCCTCATAATGATCACCGTTCAGTTTTCAGGTGTTTTGCTGGTCGTTGCCTTCTACTTCGGAGCCACCGGGGCCAGAGCCAATTATGGATATGGATATGGATCCTCTGGATACGGATCTTCTTCTACCAGTAAAAGCAGTAACCAGTGTTGGAACTATGAATCATGTCAAGTCAACACCTGTCCAGTGAGTTTTTTCACTTATCCAAGTACCACAGATTGCAACTCTACAGACAAATTATTGATGCAACATTTGAGTGGTGTGTATGTTGCCTATCTACTAATTGAAGGGTCTACTCTTATTGAAAATTCTGATAAAATTGAAATAAGTTGCATGTCCTCTTTGCATCGCAAACTGCCCATCTCTTGGATACATTAAGCTAATTTTATTGATAGTTTAAAATCTACAGCTATAGACTGAGGTTGTAAAAACGTTGCAATTTCATGGTAAAAAGTCGCAATTTTATTGTATTTAATCGCTCTCTCATTTCAATATTTTCATTGCAATGTGCAACTTGGGTAATAAGAATACTTAATCTCCTCAGATTTTACACAAATTTTGACACTCACATTTATGATGCTTTTGTTGCTTTTCAGTGGACCAGAAGACGGTATTATGCAGTATTTGTATCCCCGGTGACAGTGAATAACTTCTGGGGCAATGGTAACTCTTGCGGCGTTTTCAGTAAGTTACCCGATCATTATCAATTTTTCTGGAGTGCTTACAACTGTCCCAAAAATTCCTGTTAAAATTTTTCATTTCTTTTTTTATTTTATCGAGGTCTAAATACTTGTGGATCTCGTAAAAGCTTCCCTTTTGCCTCTTTTACACGGGATCACTACGGGTCCTTTCACTCAACACAAAATGCTCTAATGGAAAATGTCCTAGGAAGAATTTTATTGCCTGTTCAAATCCAAATTTTTAAAGTCAATCTCCTTTGTAAACCTTGTTTCTAGACTGTTTTTTTGTTCTATTTATTTATGTTTTCCGAAAAAAATCTCTCCTTCTTATTTTATGATTATGAAGAGTCGTACTTTCATAGTTTGGAAAAAAGTCGTCTAAAATATTCTGGATCTGCCGAAGTGCGAGTCTTATTTATTTTGAGCCCTTAAATTCAAAACTGAAATTTTTTTTTCTTCACCCTCCAATATTCTAGGGAGCCAATTTTTCTGGAAAAACATACAGTATTGACCTTTTTTGCAGTGTTCAGAATCTTCTCAAACGTACCATGATGAAATTTTAGTGTGTCTTAAGCCGATGAGCCCTAATAAAATATCCGTTTTCCCCTAAAAATATGAAAGAACCTGTCAAAAAAGTACCCCATTTTAGTATCTGTAATTGTTTAGTATGTTACACCCTATTTCAAAACATTTTTTTCTCTGCGTAGATCAATGCACAGATACTGGTTGTGGCTGTGTTGGTGTAGATGTTTACAGTGTCAACGACAAATACATAGAGGGATCCTTTTTCTCTTATGACAAATCGTAAGTTCGTTACGGGTTTTTATAAATGACTAAACCGATTTTTATCTTGACTAGCGGAGCAATTCATATTTTCAAAAGCAGAAGCACATATTCTTACAATGTGTATAAGCTCTGATAATATTTAGATAAGACGAGAACCATAAAATGAGGTGATTGCCTAATCCAATTTTTCAATGCATACGTTGAAATTTTCAATGTCTGCCGTTCATTGAATTTCTATAAGACATTTAAGAATTCAAGAAAAGTCAAACTTTTTAAAATTTAAAATCGATATAATCGGAATTTGTATTTTGGCATTGTATCTGTATTGATCAATAAGTGCACCGTCAAACCGTTTTATTTCGTATTTTTTAGTTTGATTACGTTTTTGGACTGAGAGGAGTGCTACACTCTCCAAAATTTTGGCAGTGGCCAATTCAGGTCATCCATTTTGTTTACCATCACAGGCACAAGTGAAAAGGCACAGTGCGTAAAATATTCCTTCTGTCTTGTAGGCGCTATGCGTTTCACGTCGACCGCTGCCCACCGCACCGTGTTGGACGCAATGCGTGAAGTATTCATGCAGTCTTGTAGGCCCTATTATTTGTCACATGCAGCCGCGCCGCGCCGAGGGCTTCTCCTATTCATCTCAAGTCCTCGTTATCATTTCTCTCTAAGTCGCGCCGCTCCAGGCCAAATTGCGTGTTTGGTTTCTCTCTTAACTCGAGTAATTAAAGGTGCTGTCTCTTGTATCACCGAAAGACGACACAATTAGAAATTACTGTACTCTCAGGAGATGAGAGATTTTGCCGCCTTTTCTCTTTTTCCGAATCCGATTTTTATAAATACCTATAATTTAAAAAATCGCAAAATTTGCCGCCCCAATAATATGCCGTCCCCATAATTTGCCGCCGTGGGCCGCGGCCTATGTGGCCACCCCCTAAATCCGGTCCTGCCCTTTACTCGCTGCTAGTACACCGATTCGAAACCCTATGAGTGCATACAACCCGACGTATGGAAACTGATTCGGTTCAAATTGGCGTGATATTCCTGATAGAAATGAATGTAACATTCTCATTGAACTTTTATTTCCTCTTCAAACTTTTTTGATTTTTCCTTTAAAATCCCGCATGCACAAAATTGGCAGTCTCGGTTCCTCCTTTATTCGCCGAAATTTTCATTCAAAATTTGGTCTTTGCAGCGGTTTTAAATTATAATTTTTTGAATACTTATAGGAAAACAATCCAGTACATGCGCAGTTTCAGTGGTACCATTTCAGGAAAATCTGGTTATTCAGATGTTGTCTTTACATTCAGTCAAGGTAAGTAAGCGCCAGTTCATGTAATCAATTTTGATTTTAATTTGAAAGAATCGAACTTTAAAGAGCTCTTAAAATTGGCAGCTTTCATGCAGATAATTCTAAAAATTGAAAATCAAATTTTCAGCCAATGTGATTTGTATTGATACGGTCTTGGAAAAAATAAGAGTTCCCTATGGCGGAGGACATTTGCCAGATAAATAAAGGGGGTGAGAGTAAGAGGGGTTCGATTAAAAAGCAACGTTGCAAAGTTTCATTAGAAGAAATACATTTTTATCAACAATGAAAATCAATTAATAATAGAATCATCTTAACTACATCGGAGGTTGCCTAATTTTCACTGATGTTTGATTTCCTTTAGATAGAAATCTAAGCATCAGTGAAATATGAAGTTTTTCGAGTATATTTTTCACAGTCTGAGGCTAACCCACAGAAAGTTTATAGGTTTTAAATATTCCAGATTTCTGTTGGAATATTACCTAATCATGAGAGGAAATTGCTAACACGAAACGCAGTTCGACTGATACCGCTTAAACTTTTTAAGAGTCGCAAGAAAGGATTGTTTATTTTATTAAATTAAGATGACAAAAGGAGATGGATAGTAAAGTAAGTTTATTTTTCAATTAGTTTAAGTGTAAATTAGGTGTAGAAATAGATTCTAAATCCGAATTATAGAAACATCTTTTATTTTGCAAAAAGTTTTCCTGGTTGATCTCAAAGTAACAAATCCCACAATTGATGAGGTATTGAGTATTACTCCATCAAATTATGCCCTCAGCTGTGACTTAAAAGTTGTGTGTTCTGTGTAAGCTTTGCTCTGGTTTTCCACCTTCATTAATATTTTTTTCTTTATCTTGGGGCATTACAGAGGTAACATGGACCGTTCCCGCCCACACTGTGAAGAAATGCGAAGAAAAATCAGTTTCGACTTACGTAGTACCTGCCCAAAGTGTCCAAAAGAAAGTGGGTTAGTATTTCTTATTTTTTCCTTTTATTCTACACGTTTTCATAAATGAGTTTTGAAAAGTATTACAAAAACTTATCATAAAGACCTACTGCTAACAAATATAAGGCAATGCAATTGTGGATTGAACATGCCTCTGCGTGCGAGTGGACATTTTTAAATGTAACAAAAACATCATTATTTTCTGGAACTTGTTTTAAAAGTTTTGTTATTTAGATAGATAGACATTATAGTTAAGACTTATAATTTTTAAGGTATATTTTCTACAAGAGGCAGCTATAATGGGCGAGTGCTTTTTTTATGAATATCTCAAGGTAGCAGCTTTTATTACTGAAATAACATAACTATAGCTATCTTTATGTTATGCTAAAATACTATTTTAGATGAGTGTCTGCTAAAACATTATCTGCAGACAAGCCGACAAAATGGAGGTACAGAGTTATTCACATTTACTACAGTGCCAATAATCTCAAAGAATTATTGAAGTGGCGAAAAAAGCAACTATAAGAGTCTTCATCGTCAAACACTCCGTAATTGCCATCTTGAAAAAGGCTGTTTGAAAAGACTGATTGAGGTTAATAATTCATCGAAAATGTTTTCTGATCATGAAAATATTGCAAATTTACGTAAGATGAGCAGAAAAATATCTGCCTCTGATCATTTGTAAGTCAATAACCTAGTCTCTTTTAGACCTACGCGTTAGATCTTTTTATTATTGAATGTATTATCTTGGAACTTTGTATTATCGAATTTTTTCTGTTCACAAAATGTTACAGTTAATGTTCAGGTGAAAGCTATTCACATTGCTGTTGCTGACAAGTACAGGATTTTAGTTTTCTGCGGTGACTTGAAAGGAATCAATGGTAATTACATTTCGGCAATTTTTTCACTACTAACCACCCCCTCCCCTTATCCAAATGCATGCTCCCAAGAATCCCTTTATTTTGTATTCAATCTTTCATCTCTCTTCATTAAAAGGGCACAGAGAAAAAACCTTCGATCGCATAAACTAGAGTTATTCCATCAAACTGAGACCATTCTCCCACAAGAAAGACGAAAGTTACAAGTTCAGCAAACCCAGGACCTCAGTCTTGCAAACCGCAAACGTTCATGGATATTATTCTTTTCACGGAGATTGAAATTTACGATTTTAGAATTTTCAAAATAATTTGATAAAGCATTCTTATATTATAAAACCATTATTTAAAAAATCATTCTTTTTTCATCAGAGTCAGCCATCCAAAAAACATTTTTATTCAAGTATAACTTTCAATATTCTAAAATGCTGGAACCGTTCAAAAAATCTAAAAGGCAGCCCTCCTACACTAAGGAAACAAGTTGTATGAACACTGCGACGGTGTCAAATTTCATTTGAAAAATATGAATATTTCAGCATACTAATGAATATTTTTCTATGAATTTTTCAGAAATTTTCTCTGCAGTCAACTCAAATTTATAGGAAAATTTGAAAATGAAATTGTTTTTAACTTTCCTAAAAATGAACATTTTTGTAGAAAAAATCTGGGGCCTTGCTTGAATTTTTGTACGACATTCTTTCACAGCAGAACTGCAATGCAGCATTAGCAAAATGTTAAGTAAAATCGATAATAGTTTATAGTTTTTGAGCACCCGTTTTTCCTGGTTTTTTCAAGTGAGATAATTCTACATAAGTGTAAGAATTAGTATGACTGATCGTAAAATCCTCTAGTCATCAGCCAAAAGTATGAATGTAATACTTTTTGCGGAATCTGAGCCAGTTAAGGTTTTTACATAAGAAATCAATTTCGATCGTGGCGATTATGCATCGCGCAATATTTTAATCTTTCAAACCCGTGTAGTTGGTTAACAAACTGTAGTTTCATCTTTTGTCGGCAGGTAACAAGCCATTTGCAGTTGTTTTAACGACCATGCCAATGCCTGGGCAAGCCACGTGGAAATTGATTAATGCAGATTTGCGGAAATATAAGTTTGAACCTCGCAGCATGGTGTTCATATCCCAGAGCAAGTGCGTCTATCCACCATTCGAATGGTGCGCAAAGCAATCTCCATCAAGTTCGGGATACGGTTACGGTTACTCTTATTATAAGTAAAAAAAAAACTTGCAATTATTTTTTTCAATTTTTATTCCCGGAAAAAAATGTTGTTTTTGGAGCTTCTTATATTATGATAATAAATTACTCATAACGTGAATACTTAAAATTAGTTATGGAAAAAAATTCTCATCAGAGTTCAAGGTTTCGGACTCTGACGAAAATTTTTGACCTTAATTTTTCCGCAGAATAGTTTGAACGTGACACTATTCTACCAACCTGTCAACTAATATATTGCCGATGAAACTTCTAAACCACATGTCTTGTTTGCGATAATTGAAAATTTTCGCTTCGATTCTATTTTTTAAAGGAGACCAAATTATCATCATTCCATGAAGTTTTCTCAGAATTTGCTTCGCATAGAGAAGGAAAATCACCGAAATTTGTAAAAATTATGTTGAGTAGCTGAGTTGTAAAAATTATGTTGGAGAATTGAAGTACAACAGGAAGTTTGCAACGTCGCAAACCTAGATAAGTTGTTTGAAAGTTTCACCATCGATATGTATAAGCTCCCATCGTTGAGATTACTTTTAGAACACTTTGAGGATACCTCCGTTATTCTCTTTGTAAAATAACGAAAGTGTTGATTGCCTGGAACAAGGGAGGCAGCGCCTCTAAGAAAATGTTTAGGAAAAGAATTTGACCAATAATTTGGCAGATAAGACAAATTTCAATACATAAATAGTATGAGTTGAACCTCAACAATAATATGAGGAATTATGGCAAAAGAAACGGGAGTGCATTATGCTGACTTCGACGAAGTTACTTTATTTAAAAATCTTTAATAGCAGATGACGCAAATGAAACTGACGCATTTTTTTTGGTACGGTTGATTCACTCTCCCCGGCATAACCGCAGAGGAAGTAAAGGAGTACGCGATAATTATAACTTCCGGATTACACGCGGACAAAACTTAAGCGAAACCCAACGAAATGGAGTGTGCGCTACTGTGTAAAGATAATCCTATTTGTAAACTATTTGTGAGGAAGATAGGGGGACACAAGAGCTACTGAATACGATTTTATTGGTGCACACTAAGGACCTAGGGATGATTTGCATCCATGATAAATCAGAGACTAACTGCTCGGGTCAAAACTATAATGGTAGATCGGCACCGTCTGGGCGTCTTTGCCAAGTTATGCATTTTTGAAGTTTTCAATCAACACACCGTCCTTCATTATTGATCCAGCAAATGAAAGATTTTCCAAAATACTTGATCCGCGAAATGATTAATTTCGAAATTTAACGCAATTGTGTCCAACACTGGAAAAAAAAGTCGCGTGGATCCAGAGTCCCGACTCATAATAACATTGACAAGAAAAAATACTCTTGATTCAATCCGATTTTTCCTTCAATTGAAGAGCCAAGCCTCTTGATTTAGGCGCATTTCCTTTTGATTCAAGCAAAATGTCCGATTGAATCAAGGGTATTTTTTCTTATCAATGCCTTTAAGAGTCTGGACTCTAGATCCAAGCTATTTTTTTTCCAATGAAAAGCATTCCGTCAACCTGGAAAAAGGTACTTTGCTCAAAACCTGATGATTTTTGAACTTGCACGCAATTTTTTTATCTTGATTCGAGCTGAATTTCTCCAGAAATAAGAAGGAAAAGGCTTGGATCAAGCGAAAAAGTAGCTTAACTTAAGCAGAATCAGCCTTGATTCAAGAAAAATGATATTTTTACGGCAAATTAAAGATGATTTTTCCTTTGTGAAAGCAGAAGAGTCATCATGAGTCCTCACTGGAAAAAAACACATTGGATCTAGAGTTCAGACTCTTAATAACATCGACAAGAAAAAACTCTTGATTCAATCAGATTTAAGCGTAAATCAAGAACCAAGCCTCTTAATTTGAGCGGATTTCCTTTTGATTTAAGCTTAAATCTAATTGAATCAAGAAGCCTTTTTCTTGTCAATGTTTTCAAGAGTCTGGACTCTAGATCCAATGTGTTTTTTTTTCCAGTGAGCTCAACATGAATATATGGTGGTTAATTTAGTCCTCACAACAAATCAACAAACAACATTTCGAAATCAAATCATCTGGCAACACTTAACAGTAATATGACGATAATTAATGGGTTTTGAGGGAAAGCCAAGGCATATGCATTTCTGCCTTCCAATTGAGGACCGATCCGAGCGCACAGGCGGTTTTTTTTTCGAGCCCTGTAATCTCTCGGGTAGATCTTGTAATCTCGTCGGTCACACTTTTGATCGCGCGAATGAGGGTCGGGGGTCGTGGATCGTCCTCCAGGTCGCGGCGGGGTTCTTCCATCTCCCCTTATTCGGTGGGCCCAATATTTGGGCCCAATCTGATTTGCCGTCACCTTCTTCTCGGTGTTGATTTGTGCCCGGAACCAATTACTCCTCTATTGTTGCTATCACTCATTTATTGCTATTGTTCGATGTGTTATAGTGGGTTTTGGCTGATTTTCATATTTTCATTCGCGTAACTCCACCTCGGCCTCATGCATCCTCTCCATGAGGTCGTTTAACTACATTTACTGGTATTCGATTATTGTATCCTGCCCCCCTCTGCTTATAATGTGACGTAATTAATCCTCGGTAACGACTGAAGACCGAGCAACCGTAAAGTTTGACAACATGATTCTTAACGGCATGCTATACTGTTACAACTTGTTTGGGATACCATTGGGGTTGATGATTTTCCATTGGGTTTTTTTTCTTTTTATTTTTTTTCCCCACATTGCATTATAACAGCTTGAGATACTCATAAAAGCACTCAGTCTAAAACGTCACTATTTGGTCACTAAAATGGTAAATATGATTTCGAAACGCTTTCAATCTCCATATTTTGGTGTGCATTAACAGCGGTGCCTCTCTAACTTTCTTAACCTTGCGTTAAAGTCTCCAACGTTACGAAGATTGGGCTTTGTACAGTGCATCCTGATAATATAGCACCGAAAAACATGTTTGTTTTAAAAACGTCTTATTTTGATCTTTGAGAAATAAATTTTTTGAGAAACCAGAGGCACAACCCCGACCACTTCACGGCCCAACCCTTTGAAGTGCTTCTTAGTTACTCCAATATGATTTTATGTTATAGAATAAGCTAATTAAAAAGTATTTTTATACAATCCTATGAAACAACTCAGGTATTCTTAGAACTTGGCAATAAATCCTTTTTATATTTAATTTCAAAGATAAGAATGATATATCTAAATGTTTTGTTTTTTTTCCAAAAAAAAAAAACAAAAAAAATCATTTTTAAAGCAAAAATTTTTAAATGTGGAAAAATATTTGAATTTGCTTTAAGCGCATTTTAAAATTTTTATTGTAACACGTATCGGAATTGATAATAAAATGATAAAAAAAATGACTCTGAAAAAGTTTTAAAACACACAAATACAAAAAGCCGCTTTTAGAGAGCAGCCTTGCGCTCTGCGACGCCCAATCGCCATTGCCCCCTATCTTCCCGAAGATCCTCAGGCATATGACACCTCCTGATCTCCTCCTCCACTTCACGCACACACAATCAAAATGCCAAAAACGCACAAATGCCACATAAATTATTTCCTCAAAAGTTTCAAACTCATCATTTCTAGATGTCTCTGTTTTTTTCACCGTTTAAAGGAATCGCCTCAAAAACATTTCATTGAATCCAGAGATACCTCAAAATCATATTTCAAGGAGCATTGTGCTACCGGGGATGTCCCACTATCCCGCTCTCTTTTTCCCGGTGCGCATGCGCCTTTTTCATTTCCCCCCTCTTTTTTTATATTTCATAGCGTGGTTCCATTTTATCATTGTGCAAGTCGGAAGACGCGACCGCACACCGCACACTGGCGCGGGAAGGCACGACGAGACCACCCACATGTGTATCAAAACCCTGGGTTTTAGTGCTCACTTGTATTCACCGTTTAGTGTTTACCGCATGCCCATTAGGTGCCCCACAGTAGCAGAGCAAGGATTTACAACTTTACCGTCCACTCGAGCCGGAATATGTATATTCCACTATTATTTACTTAGGACGTAATACCTCCAATAATTCCGCTCCTCTCGCCTTCATCTAGCTCAGCCAGGAAGCAACGAACTGTAGAGCCTAGGGATGACGATTCTCGAGAGAAAAATCGATTGTCGATATTCAAGAAAAACATCGATCGTCAATATTCAAGAAAAACATCGATTGTCGATAGTCAAGAAAAAAATCGATAGTCGATATCGGCAAAAAAATCGACTCTCTCTATCGACAAAATACCGATTTTCGATATGGACAAAATTCGATTGAGAGAATCAATTTTATTTTTTTAAAAAATCGATGCGATATAAAATTGGCGGCAAAAAATCGATTTTTTGTTGCAGATTTCCGGGTTTGAAATATCCATTCTGACTTTAAATCTACCTCAAAAATCGATGAGATTTTTCCGATTTTTTTCCGGCATCGAATAAAGTTGTTTTTTTTGGGGGAAGGGGGGATCGGAATGATGAAAAATTGCCGACGTAATTTTCAAAATTTGGACCAAAATTTGACAAAAATTTTTCGATTTAAATCTTTCGCAGGTTGGAAAATTCGCTCATGACTTTAAATCTACTTTAAAATCGATGTGATTTTCCGATTTTTTGCGCCAGAAAATGAATGATTGAAAGTAATCATAATGCACTACCAACCCGATAAGCGAAGTCCATCGAGCAGTGAAGGTGGAGCAAATCCGTACAATAAACTCGGATAATCAGTGCAAAATTAACTATTGTTGGGATAAAAATATGATTTCGATGTTGCCCGTGTGATACCTTGATAGTAGTATGATGAAAAAAGCTTAAGTCTATTTGTTTCAGTTTGCAATGTGTTCGGAAGTGATCAGTAAAATTAACGATGGTAGTAATATCAAATTGAAATTAAGAATCCATCATGATAATGTTCAAGGGCGGGATACGGAAGGAACCAAATTCAATAAATGTTGATTTGAAACTGTTCAAACATCGTGACAACAAAGCAAAACCGTATAGTCCAATTTGACGTCTTTCACACTACACACGGTCTTAACCGCCGACAACTTCCTCAAGCCAGAGGTCATGAATGATGGATCAAGGATCATCGCTGCGTGGCAAATTAACTAAGTCACCGTGATGTTTGCACAAAATAAG